GGGGTCTGGGGTGGCATCCCCTCCCACCCCACTCCAGACCCCTCATAGCCCCCCCTTCCGATAGTCCGGCATATCTGATAATCTGGCACCCCCTGGGTCTCAAAGGTGCCGGATTATCGGAAGTTTACTGTACACTGCTGTTGACTTCTACTGCCCCTATAAACCTGGATCTTCACTGTGTGCATGGTGCCATGCTCTCCAGGATCTTGCTCACGCAAACAGAGTTATTTTGGAGGCCTACAGGGAAATCAGTTGAAATTAATTTGGTACCTTTGCACTCTAAGTATTAGCTAATGAAACCAGCAAGTCTTCACTGAATGATTTCACAGACTATTAAAATTTAACCTAATGTAAGGGTGAGTATATTTATCCCTGTTTAACTACACCACAGTAATTGTGGGGTTGTGCATGGTAAGGAAGCAGAGGGATGAGGAGTACAGTTAGTCTTTATTCCCTTCACAATACACTTTAAAACTGAGTAAGTAATTGCTATAAAAATTAAGGACAGGTGGTCTGTGTTGATGGATGCTATTGCATAGTAATAACATTGCTGAATAAACTATTGTTAAACTAAACAAATTCTTGATTATGTATTTTCAGAGTCCACCAACTAGACTGCAAAAAAGCCAGATTCTGTCTCCAGTTCCTCAAATAGAAAAGAACAGCAAGAAGAATGGCAAAGGTTATTCACCAGGCAAAGGTATAAACATTTATTCAATTAGGCAAAACCTATTAATTCTTTGAAAGAATATTGCCAGGTTTAATGCAGTTGACAGTTTGCAGCGATTGACCATCGGTAATATCTTTATTTTCCATAGGCAATGCACATATTGAATAATCCAAAAGCATAATGCACATAAATGTTTAAAAGTCAGACTTAATGGTCTGATAAATAATACATATATTTTTGGATAAGATTGTGGAGAAAGTGGTGGAGACAGCTCCCTCAGTACGTAGACATGTCCCTGATGTCTTTCCCAGTCTGGGTACAGAACTGGATATGGTCCAGAAACTGTGTTGGTCAGTTATCTCCTGGCAATGGTTAGAAATCAGGTATCTGTGCTAGTAGTATTAGATTTATCACCTGCCTTGGAGACTGTTCTGAATAACAGGCAATGTTCTCTTACCTACAGACTTAGTGAGAATTCATGGGACTGCTCTTCAATGATGTGTGTTTTGTTTTGTTTTTTTCTCTGAGAAATCCCAAATAAGTAGTTGAAGAGCTGTTCAGAAATTGCCTCAAATGTAGGCACTGTGTAACACTATTTCTATCACCTCCTGTTCAAGATAGAGACGGGGTATGTCTACACTACCACCCTAGTTTGAACTAGGGTGGTTAATGTAGGCAACCGAAGTTGCAAATGAAGCCCGGGATTTGAATTTCCCGGGCTTCATTTGCATCTTGCCGGGCGCCGCCATTTTTAAATGTCCGCTAGTTCGGACTCCGTGCTCGCGGCTACACGCGGCACGGACTAGGTAGTTCGGATTAGGCTTCCTATTCCAAACTACCGGTACATCTCGTTCCACAAGGAGTACCGGTAGTTTGGAATAGGAAGCCTAATCCGAACTACCTAGTCCGTGCCACGTGTAGCCGCGGGCACGGAGTCCGAACTAGCGGACATTTAAAAATGGCGGCGCCCGGCAAGATGCAAATGAAGCCCGGGAAATTCAAATCCTGGGCTTCATTTGCAACTTCGGTTGCCTACATTAACCACCCTAGTTCGAACTAGGGTGGTAGTGTAGACATACCCAGGGCTATTACGCAAGTTAGGAAGAAAGCATAAGGTGTGTTCTCCGTGTACTGATGGCACTGAAATGCATGTCTGTCTTGTTCAATTCGGATGATGTAACTCAGCTAGCTTCTAGTTAAGAATGGGCCATGGATGACTGTGACCTGGCTGCTTAGTCCAAACCAGAATAAGATGAATGTAAGGGTGGCAGGGAAGCATTTGGAGATAATTAGTCCCTTTTGATTTGAGGGAATATATTCACCATTAGTTACTAAGATTTGAATTTTAGGAGTGATTTTTTTTTTTTAAAGATCCCAGCTGTTTGATTATCCCATAGCAGTAACCCTTGTGCATGGTGTTTTTCAACTTTTGCATCTGGCTAGGAGGTTGTAGTCTTTCAGATGTGAACCTTTTTGAATGTAGTAGTCTTAATGAAAGTATAGATATGTGCACATCATCAGTTAAATCTTCAAAATCATTCAAAGAACAAAGCTGGTAGAGAACAGAATAGGGATATGAAAGTGTAACTGTGTACACCATGGATTCCCAAACGTGAAGAAATTCCAGGGGAAGGCGTGAGGTGACCCAGGTGTAGGGCCCCCCCAATCAAGTTTTGCTGCCCCAGTCAGTGTTTGTTTGGGGTTTTTTTTGTTTTTTTTTTCTCAACAAGTCTTGCTATTTTGGGGGGAGGGGAAGGGAACCTGAGGGTTTTTCAAAAATCAAAAAGGGGGTGTGATGCCGAAAAGTTTGGGAACCACTGCTGTACGCAGTTAACTGATGAGCCTGTGCTCATCAGTTAACCTTCGCTGTTATACGCAGGATCGCAGTATGCATAGGGAGCTGGCTTAGAAGCCAGGGAGCCACCTGCCCCTCCTGTGCTGCTGACTGTATCAGAGGTAGCAGTACAGGGGAGGGGAGGAGCAAGTTGGAGTCGGTGCGCGTGGGGAGCCAGCTTAAAAGCTGTCTCCCTGCATGCACTGGCTCCCAGCGAGTCACCTCTCTGCTTCCCCCATGCTGCAAGGACACATTATAGGGTTTTTAGAAAAGGATAAGAATGGGTTTCCTATAAATCAAAAGGGGTAGAAAGGAGTCTTTTTAGATGTTTTTCTGGCTGAATTCCTAGTGGAATAAAATGAGGTAACACACTTAATTGCATATTAATTCTACTTGAGTAGCTGAAGATACTGATTTCAAGCTAATACTGCACATGAGGTATGCAGATATCCAGTATAGTGGGGTGGGCAATAATTTTAGATGGGGGGCCACTTCACTAACTTTTGAAGTGGCCCTGGGCCACCCCAAAGGGGCCGGGGCCTTGGATAGAAGGGGTGGAGCCAGGACATTTCCATGCTCCACCAACTACAGACCTTAATTGGCGTGGGGGAGCATGTGAAGTCTTTGCCCCCACCTCCCCATGCCTCCTAATGTGCTCCCCTCTCCACCCCTAAGACAATCAGGACCTGGGGGCAGGAGGAGCATAGGAAGTCTCTCAGTCCCTGTCCCTGACCCGCAAGTGGCGCGTGGCGCTGAGTGGACTCGTCTACTCTAAGTGCCACGCTCCCCTTGCAGGGTCAGGGCAAAGAGCGAGAGACTCATGCACTCCCCTTGCCCCCAGACCCTGATTGTCCTGAGGATGGAGAAGTGGCAGGGCATCCGAGGGCCAGATCTACCCACTTGTCAGGTCGGATCCAGCCTGTGGAGACCCCTTTGCCCACCCTTGTAGTATAGCATACCTATCATTCTGATCTTTACACCAGCTCATAACACTCAACTGCTTCTTGACTGCTGAGATTACGTAAAATTAACTATTTTTTATAATTTTTATTTGAACAGGAAAGCCTTTTAGAAGACCTAAATCAGCACCTGTTAGTGATGGGAGTAACTTTGACAAGACAACGATGACACTAGAAGACTCCTCTAGGACTTTTATGATAGACAGCATTCTGGTACAGGACTTACTGTGTTGACTTGATTCAAAAGAATAGAATAATACAATTATCTGCGTAATACAGATGTGCAGCCTGAAAAGTGATTTGTGGAACTGTCATAGGAAGACTAGATAATTTTCAGCAATTACTACAATATTAAAGCAGATACGGCCCACTTGCCCACCCCAATAAGTTGTATCTAACTTTTTCTCTAGGTGTTTTGTGTTGATGATTCCCTTGGCCATCCTTGCTCTCCTGAGTTTAAAAAAAAAAGATAGGTTGTCTTTGTCCCAGCCTCACAAAAAGGGAGTCTGATTTTAATGTCACATTATAGGTTGCAATTCAGATCAGCTGAGGGACTGTCACCACCTGTCTGCCAATTTGGTGTGCTTCTTAATGCTTTGCTGTTGTAAGCTCCCAATCTGGGCCCATCACAGGCAACATGCAGGTCTCATCTTAGGTGTATATGTATAGCTGCAGTTTGCCAGCATGATCTAGCTCACACCTGCCTAGGCTAACACTTGCAGAACATGATCCCAACATATGTCCAGTCCTGAATTTTCCCCCAAACATGTTCTGTGCCCTCTTCTGGATAGTTCAGATATTTTAGGTGTTTTGCCCCTCTAAGGCAGGGATGGGGAAGATTTTTGGTGTGGGGAGAAGGAATCGCTGATGCACAGAAAAATCAGTCAGGGGCTGTACAGAAGTGAGAGAGAAAACAAAACCAAAAACCCTCACTGATGTGGTCCCCGACTGAGGAGAGAGACTCTCCCCACATTTCCCTTGCACATAAGAGCCTAGTAGATGTTTTGTGCTCTAGCCCTATGGTAGGGCAGTCATTGGAGGGCGGGGGGACTTGTGCACCAGCCCAGGCTCCCCAATGCTGGGGGGGAAGGAGTGGCTGAGCCTTGAGGGCCAGATTGAGGTAAGCTGAAGGCTGTATCTGGCCCCCAGGTTCCCCACCCCTGTTCTGAGGGGATCAATATTCAAGTATTTGCTACATTTGTTAACCACACCATTTAGTTTAAAGACAACACTGAATTAGTTTTGATCAAAGAATAAAATACAACCTCTCTCTTTAATTAAGTTTATGTGAGTACAAGCATAAGGCATTAATGGAGAAATAGTTACAAGAGAAATAAAAATAAAATGCCTCATCGTACTAAAATTTAACACTCTAGACGTTACAACACATCACATGTTCCCAGTAAATTGCTGACCAAAATTCCCAGGCCACGATTTGCTCCCAAAGTCCAGAAGCTGTTTGTTTGGTCAAAGAGTGAGAGATGGATAGGAAGAGATCTTAGGGTGTTTTTGCCTCTCACTTTATAGTCCAGGCCCCCTTTGAATGACATTTTCCTGAGGGTTACCCCTAAATAAAATTCATTCC